GTGTGTGTGTGTGTGTGTGTGTGTGTGTGTGTGTGTGTGTGTGTGTGTGTGTGTGTGTGTGTGTGTGTCTCTCTGTATTGTGTTCCTTATCAGCTGGTTGCAGGACAGCAGTAGAACCCGCAGACTGTGGGAGATTAGGAGTTGCTGAGAGTAGATTAGAAGTAAAGTGTTCTTCCGTTCTAAAGCAAGTTAGTGCTTGTGTGTGACAGAGATTCAAATCAGTTCAAGTCCGAGTTTGCACCAGAACATTTCGGCCCAATTCCAAACCAAACCCTACCGTTTTAACGAGGCTCCTTCTTTCAGGTGGAGGGTGTAAAAACAGCAGATTTGGGGACGAACTCCCCTCTCTTCTACTAAAACAGGAAATGCCGTTACTTTTCATAAAAATCTGATGTTTATAAGCTGCTTAGTCCGTGTAAATATACAACACTTTAACATTTTCTAGACTAGACACAGGGATATGATCCTAAGTTTAAAAATATATGAGGTAACATGAAGTTGTTTAAATCTGTATGTCAATATTAAATGTCTCTTGTTGACTTATTGGTAGGGTGTAGGGGGCGGTTTGGAATTGGGCCTTAGTGTTTACTTCCTGTCTGTCTTCTTCTGCTGTTCCCATTAGTGTTTACTTCCTGTCTGTCTTCTCCTTGAATTGACCGGACTTCTTTCTGCCGATTGATATGACTGCCTATAATCCCTTGATCAAAAATGAGCAAACGCCTGGACTGTAATGTCCAAATTGACCAATCAGAATTCAACAAAGCCATGTACTAAATGTCTCATAACTGAGAGCCCTCCTTTAAGGAAAGTGTACAATGTGTGTGTGTTTCTGAAAGGCTTCCTATCGAAGGCTATATCAAACTCTCTGACATTGGAAAGCCTCTCACGCCACGTTTCCTCAATAAATCCTGACCTTTAGGAGAAAGGAAAGCTGGGGAAACCTCCCTAGATCAGAAAGAGATTTGCTGGATATATAGGACGACTACATGTGCTTCTGCAGCCTTTAAAGTTCAGTGCTGGTAAGAGGCGTGCTCAGGGAAGCTAACCTTTTAGTCACAGGCGCTGTTTTTCCTGAAGTTCACTGTTTAAACAGGCGCTTTGCAGCTGATTAGGACCTCCGGTGATGTTTCTCTGCTCAAGTGTCCAATTTACAGACGGTTGATTGCTCCGTGCTAGTTGGCAGCGTGTTGCGTCTTCTTTCCACTATTTATGTTCTGTGTAAGAATGACAAAGGACGTGTTGTTTCGAAGGCTTTACATACTGATAAACACCTGAGCATCAGCAGGAGAGGACTCTTTAAAGTAGAGACACTACATACTGATATACACCTGAACATCAGCAGGAGAGGACTCTTTAAAGTAGAGACACTACATACTGATAAACACCTGAACATCTGCAGGAGAGGACTCTTTAAAGTAGAGACACTACATACTGATAAACACCTGAACATCAGCAGGAGAGGACTCTTTAAAGTAGAGACACTACATACTGATATACACCTGAACATCAGCAGGAGAGGACTCTTTAAAGTAGAGACACTACATACTGATATACACCTGAACATCAGCAGGAGAGGACTCTTTAAAGTAGAGACACTACATACTGATAAACACCTGAACATCAGCAGGAGAGGACTCTTTAAAGTAGAGACACTACATACTGATATACACCTGAACATCAGCAGGAGAGGACTCTTTAAAGTAGAGACACTACATACTGATATACACCTGAACATCAGCAGGAGAGGACTCTTTAAAGTAGAGACACTACATACTGATATACACCTGAACATCAGCAGGAGAGGACTCTTTAAAGTAGAGACACTACATACTGATATACACCTGAACATCAGCAGGAGAGGACTCTTTAAAGTAGAGACACTACATACTGATATACACCTGAACATCAGCAGGAGAGGACTCTTTAAAGTAGAGACACTACATACTGATATACACCTGAACATCAGCAGGAGAGGACTCTTTAAAGTAGAGACACTACATACTGATATACACCTGAACATCAGCAGGAGAGGACTCTTTAAAGTAGAGACACTAAACACTAATATGGACCTGAACATGAGTATAATATGTCTTCTTTAAGAAAATAACATTTATGGTAAGTATTCCAGGACAGAAGAAGGTATTATCCTTTATTTATTACTCATGTTCTCCAGT